GTGGAGGGGCCGCTGCGGAAGAAAAGAGCGGAGACACGGTGACGCACTGTCTGCTCTTGAGGTTCGGATGTGTTCAGTTGAGGGAAGTAGCCGTCGTTCTCCAGTCCTCGCGAAATTTATCCGAGGTATATCTTGCTCTCGATGAAGCTCAACGAACTTTGGTGGCAGCAGGTAAAATCGCGCAGGTGAGTTGCTTCAAAGGGTTTGGTGATGGCTATTCGAGGTTGAAGTGGCACTGGTGTCTGAGCTGTCCCGTTCCGATTTAAGCCGCCAATTTTTGTATGGCCCGCGGCTCTTACAAGGAGGCTCTACGAAGGCCTGTGCTGCCGGAACCCAACCAAAGAAGTGTTCAAGGAGTGGCGTAGAGTATGTTGGAATTCGCGAAGTTTCCAGGAATCGTGAACCTAGGAATTTGAAGCCGAGGATATCTGAGACGTGAATTGAACTAGGTAGGTCGTCGTCGCCCAGTAGCAAATCGCTTAGGTAGTGTGGTAGTTAGTGAGCACAAAGACTAACACTGTGAGAAGAGAAGGTGTTGGGCTCAGCGACGGAGAGGGCCAAGGGAACGTACCGGATGCGGGCAAGGGTCTATCGTCCATCCTGGGACTAGCCCGGGGAGACGACCCGACAAGTCAGACCCGGTTAAGCTTCGGACCGACAGGGCCTGCTGGCCTAACGTACACAGTAAGTCTCTGCTGCCACCTCGAAAGATGGATCTTATCACGTGATGAGGCAAGCACGATTTTGTCATTGACCGGGAGCTGGAGCTCCAGAACAAAGATCCACCGCGACTTGGACCAGTCGTGGCTGCCAGCTGTTCCCATTGGATTTAGCGTGGCATTGTGGCTCGTGCTCGACCAGCACCTCTGGCTGTAATCAGCGAAGAAATTTATTCAGACTTTCCAATCATCACCAACCCGACTCCGACTCGACGACCCTCTCTCCCCCCAACGCCCCTGCCTGCCCATTGCGCGAGCATCAACCGATCCCGAGGGCAGTCGCAGCTGTATTATTTCGAATAGATCCAGATCATCTGGTTCCCTTGTGCTTCTCTTTCCGACTTTTTTTTCCTTTTCTTGCCCTTCCTCTACCCGATTCTGTTCGACTCAGGCCCGCGCCGACCATCGCAGCAATGGCGTCAAGCTTGGAACAAATCCAGAATGTTCTCCTGAACAACCCCGTCGCGCACTCCCTCTCAGATGCCATCAGCTCCTTCTCGGAACGGAGGGCGAAGCTCGGCTTGTCCAATCCCGGTACCACCGAGAACTTGACTAGGGAGGTCCAGCGCGATGTCTTGCTTACGAACTACATGTTCACCGGCCTTCGCGCCGACCTGACCAAGGCCTTCAGCATGTCGCCTCTGTTCCAGGTTTCTCACCAATTCGCCATGGGCGAGCGTTTGAACCCGTACACGTTTGCTGCGTTGTACGGAACAAGCAAGGTTCGTCCACAACTGCGCTGCGAAGCAAAGCGCCATGAACTTAGCTAACTGGTTTTCCAGGTCTTCTTGCAAGGAAACATGGATAACGACGGCCAGCTCTCCACCCGATTCAATTACCGATGGTCCGATAAGCTCGTCTCGAGAACCCAGTTCCAGGCCGCCCCTGGCGCTGGCCAGGAGATGCTCCAGTTCGAGAACGAATACACCGGCGACGACTTCACGGCTTCTCTTAAGATGCTCAACCCCTCCTGCCTGGACGGCGGTGTTACCGGTATCTTCATTGGCAGCTACCTCCAGTCGGTCACTCCTAAGCTTGCCCTCGGCCTCGAGACCGTCTGGCAGCGCCAGGCCATGACCCAGGGTCCCGAGACTGCCACATCATACTGCGCCCGTTACAAGTCCAACGACTGGGTTGCCACCGCTCAGCTCCAGGCTCAGGGTGCTCTGAACACCTCCTACTGGAGACGTCTGTCTGAGAAGGTTCAAGCCGGTGTTGACCTGTCCCTCTCGCTTGTCCCCGGTGCCGCTGGCGTCATGGGCGGTTTCCAGAAGGAGGGTGTCACCACTATTGGTGCCAAGTACGACTTCAGAATGTCTACCTTCCGCGCCCAGGTTGACTCCAAGGGCAAGCTCAGCTGTTTGTTGGAGAAGCGCATTGCCGCCCCCGTCATGATGACTCTGGCTGCTGATGTTGATCACTTTTCTGTACGTGCCACGATATCTTGGAATCGGAGAAGTTCACATGCTAACAAATTCTCTAGCAACAAGCAAAGATCGGTGTCGGTATCTCCATTGAGGCCGGCGGCGAGGAGCTCCAGGAGCAGCAGGAGACTCTGGGTGCTCAGGGAACCCCCAACATCCCCTTCTAAACCCGAAAAAGAAACACGAGGACGGCTTGGTGCAAAGCCAAGCCAGAACCGAAGCTCCGCTCCTAATCGAACCCAATAATTGATGTTTTTCCCCGGCGAGAACAAGAAACGATGTAGACGAACTTGATTTTCTTTCGCAAGTTCTCATTCTTATACTGCTGTCTTAGTACAAACGACTTCACGCCTCAACAGCACGGACCCGACAAACCAGAGTATCGGATACTCCCCTCCTCTCTGGAGGTCTAGTCCGCCCGTCACGTTCATGTTCGTTGAACCTCGACTTCTCTACTCGGCCGGATAGAAAGACCTGTGTATATTACGCTCAGCCCGAGCACAAGAATCAGGGCCAATATGGTGGTGTATTGGCTGGCTTGGATGCATTTTGGGAGGCTTGGAACGGCATACCCGAAGCGGAGTGGCTGATGCCACAACTCACGAGAGCATTTACACAAGGCTACACATTACGAATGGCCTCCGTGATGAACAACTCTCGTATGTACTGTGTATGAAGGAGATAGAATTCAATGCTGATATAACATCACTTGTCATGTACCATGGGTATGCTATAAACGTGAGGCAGGATATTGGCCGCACAGTCTCTGGAATGCATCACAAATAAAACCTTACTTTGGGTAGTTTGCTAACTACGCCAGATATGTCTAGGCCTCTACAGGTTATTCTCCGAAGCAATTTGCTTGTACAGCGCCTTTAGCTCATCGTCGCTCATTTCCTTGATGCCAAACAACGCGTTGTCGCTCTTCGCCCACGGCTGAGCAAACTCCTTCTTGGAGCACGCGTACAAGAGCTGGGGGTACATCACATCAGGCGTCATGATACCCTTCTTGATAGACTCCATACAGTTCGCGTAGATCGCGTCAACGTCGACGGTGGTAGTCTCCCACGAACCGCTCACGGCCTCCTGAGCGAGCGCACCCATCTGCTTCTGCGACTTGACGGCGGACTGAATGTACGCGATCCTGTTGGCCGTCTCCTCGGGGTGCATCAGGGTGCCCACGACAGCCTTGCCGACGTCGGCGAGCATCGTGTAGGGGATGACGTTGTCGCCGTCGTTGAAGAGCGAGAGCTTCTTGTTCTTGACGTCGACGCCCATGAAGCTGGACCGGATGCCCCAGTCGAGGAAGGGCCCGTTGGTGACGATGGTGTAGGTGAACTTGCCGCCGGGCGTCTCCTGGGCCTTTTGCTGCATGTGGCCGTGCGTCAGCGCCTTTATGCCAAAGATGGGCAGGCTGGGCACGTGAGCGCGTGTTGGGTCCAGGCCGAAGTCGGGCGGGATGTAGCGGTAGACGCCTGCGGCGACGGCGGCGTCGACGACGCGGGTTGCTACTTTGGGGTCGAAGCTGTTTGTCGAGTTGATGAGGGCGTCTTGGCCCTTTAGGGCCTGGGTTAGGGAGTCGAGGGACTCGTAGTCTACTTCCTTGACTGTGACGCCCGTAGGGAACTTTTGGGAGCCGGTTTTGCGGGTTAGGATTGTGATGGTGAAATTGTTGGAGTCCATGAGGGCCTTTAGGAGGGAGGGGCCTAGGTTGCCGCCGGCCTGGGGTTTGTCAATGGGTGTGCCATTAGGGAGATGGGGTGATACTTACGCCGGCGAGAGCGACGTTCTTGATTGTTGGTGCCATGATGTTTAATCGGTGATGATCTTATGTTTCTTCTCGAGGAGCAAAATCAATGTCTCGCATGAGAGCTCAAGCTGGCTGCATGTCCTTCTTATGAGCTCCAGCACTGGCTGAGCTATCTACGAGGAGAGCAAGGATGAGAGCTGCGTCGCGTCACGTTCCGGACCGCAAGCTTCGAAAGCATATGCCGCTGTGACGCCATTCCGTTCCAGGCTCGTCTGAAGGTAAAGCTGGTCCTCCATTCGTGTTCGAACCGCCAGCGGGAAAGGAGAGACCTTCGCTCTTTCGCGCTCTTGAGCTCTGACCCTTTTGTCATCGTGGGAAATGGTTATAGCAGATGGGGCGCACGTCCGGTTCGACGTTCTTGAATAAGTGCTGCGGCGGGTGTCTTTGCGTTTCTGCACGACACGGGCTGCCGCCATTTCGACATCTCGATTGTGTTTTCAAAACAGAACGCTGAGAAGCCCCGGATACTGCCTAAATACATATCCACTGACGAGGTAGCCGTAGTCATTGGCTATTTATGCTGAGCCACCGTGAACAGGCCAGCAAACGATCGGTAACTGAGTATCAAACCCACGGAGGTATACAAGAGAGACTGAAGATGCAGAAGCTACTCGTGGAATGTCTCGCCCCGCTCAGATCTAAAGAACATGCGCAGTCCATTGGCTCTGCAGCTGTCTGAATATGCATGACATTGGCCTTCGAGAGATGAGATGATGAGAGCCCGTGGCGGGTGAGCCGGATACGGGAACCTCGCCATGTACTTCAAACTCAATTTGTAAAATGAAGCAATGAGACACCACAAATCCAAAACCCGAAGCTGACAAAGGGAGATATGATTCTGAAGCGCACGGGCATCCCGGCACGTTACGAATCCCGATTGCGGTCGGTGCCGGAGTGGGGTCCCGGACACCGGAGGTCCGTTGGCCTGATCTTCGGGATGGTCGGGCGAGGTTGGGATACCCCTTCGACGAACGTTTCTTTGCTTGCTTAAGTCATCTTTAGTTTAGGTTATTGGTCGAGAGCAAGATGATAGTGAGAGTACGGAGTTTAATGGGACATGTTGTGATTGCGAAATTGCTTCGCGTATGTGGCTTGTGTTTCTCGTCCTCTTGTTTTCTCCGATCATGTTTCAATCATCTTGTTGCAAGCGCGGTCTGCTCTTCAAAGAGGAGCATGGCCGTTCACAGACTGAATAGGTGCCCATGACAAGTCAGTATACTCTTCAGAAGAAAGTTCATCAAGACCATCTACAGCAATCAGAGAGACATGGATCCGGGAGCATGCACTGTCTAGCCTGCCCGGATCAGTTGCAGCCAAGCTCATAAAAACAACCTACACTATCCACGCCTCAACACACATGATGCTCAGATTTCCCCTCCTTTGCACTGCGTCACCAAGTACCAACGAAAAAGCGTTTCAACTACAGCTTTCAAAACATTCACAAAATCAAGCAAAAGGTAATGCGGCGACCGAGACTCGAACTCGATGCATAAGCAAACGCCAATGAAGAAAATGGGAAGCTTATATGTTACCCTTACACCACCGCCGCAAGGAAGAGGAGCTTTGTGAGCTTGCTGCAGGTCCAAGGCATAAGCACACCTTATGTAGCGTCCTGGAGGGGTAACGTGAGAGCTAGGCTCGATTGAGAGCCCCGTCCAACCGTAAGGTACGACCAAAAGGCCAGGGGGATGTAGGAGGACGGTTCGCGGGTGGTGGTACGTTGTAGGGAACAAATTTAGTTTCACTGAATGTCTGGGGTAAATGATGAAGAGTATCCGTCTCGAGAGAAGAGGAAGGGAAATGAAAGGGATTGGGAGAAGTGGAATGCTCAGGAATGAAATTGAAAAAAAAAAGATTTTGGGTGCTAGGAGATTACTTTTTTCTTCCATGCTAAAACAGAGTAGTGGTCGGTGCACCAATGACCGCCACTCACCAGCGGACAACCCAAAGGCCCAACTCTCAGCACCGCTCCCATCTTCACTGCTGTTGTTGGCACCATCATCATGCGTCCCTTCTCAAGTCTCCTTATTCACCTTTGTTTTCTTCTCTATAACTGCTATTATGATAGATAGCTGGAAAGGATAGAGAGAAAAAGAGAGACGACAGCTCATCAAGAAGAGGTCCAGCTAGTGTGCTAGGCCATGCTCCTTGTATACCAAGTGCTATCGCTACTCTTCAGTATAACGGACCCTGAGACCTCGATCTTTGCATTGCGACGAGTTCTGTTCTTCTCAATATAGACATATTGATGTCGAAGAGACCAAGGAGACAGTACGCCATATCTTCTTTGCGTGAAGCCTGTCTCCTACTTGCCCACGACAATCTCCATGCTAGGCAAACATCTTTAAACGAACGTTCATGTGCCAAGATAGTCCTTGGTATGCCAGTGATTTCCGAGATTTGATCTTGCAAGGAGTTGCTAACTCCTACGGGCTCCCACTTCTTATTATAGAAGTACATGTCTCGTGGGGCCAAGAGCTCTTGCAGTGTTCACCCCCTCGTAAACCACCTGCACTGTGCGAACTCGAAAAGGGCGGTCATGGCATTATCTGGCCCAAAATCCGACAAAAACACAAGACATGTATCCGCCTCTCGATACCATCAGAACATGGAGTTGATGGCTTCGAACAGTTCGGCACTACTGCTCTTGTCTATACAGCACGTGTCGACCCAAACATATTGAAAATGGTGTTCTTTTGCAAGGCGTGCGCTCTGGACAATCTTGTCGGACCGTTTTCGTAAACTCTTGGCCTTGTTCGCCGAGTTCGTCGTAGTCGACGCCATTAGGGCTTCGACAGAAGCAAAGGCTTCGCGATTCTCCTCGTATTCGTGGAGCCAGCAGAGATCTTGAAACGTAACTTCATCTCTTTCCAATTGTGAGAGAGAATCGCGTATTGAGGCATGTCGTCGTCAAAGATTTCCTCCAACTGGAGGGAATCAGCATTTATGAGCCTCATGCTTTCTTTGATCGGAGAGCCTTCGCGAGGACTAGTCTAAGATATACGATGCTGATGAAGCCTGACTTTGCTGGTACAGTCAGTAATGCAGCACGCCGACCCAGAAGTAAGATGTAAGGATAGCAGCGAAACGTTGAATGCTTACGTAGATCAGCTCGGCGACGAAGTCGGGAACTCGGTCGATTTGAACACTGCGGGTGAGGTGACTGAAATTGCGGGAATTAGTGAAGAGCGACCAAGAACTTCTATCTGGCGACCATTCAGCAGGATGGTCCCAGCTAGGCCGCAACAGCACGTGAGGGGGATGCATGGTAAACGAGGCTGTCTTCCACCAGCCAATGAGTTGGGAAATAAATCCATGTTCTAATATATGCACGATATGTACCAACCGGTTCCCTCATAGTGCTACCAATAAACTCCAGTAATGCTATAATTGACATGAAGAAGCGGCAACGCCATGAAGCGCACGAGAGAGGAGTGTTCTATGTCTGGGAAGTAATCAATGACCAAGGCGATGACGGACTGTTGACCGGGCCTTGTGTCGTCTAAACGACTTCTAGTCAAACAAAGTGTAATGGGAGTTGCCCGGCGCCTGTCTATTGCTCTCATTGTACGACGGGGGCGGCTGGGCCTGTGGTTGAGACTGCGAGGGTGCAGCGGGGAGGGCAGGCGGGGCGGTTGCAGTCTGCTGGGTCCACTGCGCCGTCTTCATCACCATCTTGGCGAAGTACTGCTGGATAAACGATTCCCTATGATGTGTTAGCTCAAGTTCTGAGGTCTTTGGGGAAAGTGGTCACTAACGTATAGTAGCTGTGGTCCGAATTGTGAGGTTGGACCAGGTTGTGCGCAAGCTCGTGAGCCAACACCACCCACCACCACACAGCCGCCTCGGCCTTTGCTTCGCCGCTTTGTGTCTTGAGAATCTTCTCCGCATGGAGCTGCAAGAAGAAGCGCAAATTGCAGAAGACACTGCCGTTGCTGTTGAAAGCAATCGTCGAGCCAGACTCGTCATAGAAGATGTGAAGAACGCGCGGTGAAAGCGAGTAAACGCTAGCGACCTCACTAAGAAGACCGGCAAACGCGTTGATGGGACCGTGATTCCTCGAGAGGAACTGAGCCGGCTCAATGGACAACTTCTTGGAGACGAATACTTTCATACTGTTCGATGCCTCCGCCGCGAAAACGATATTCTGCGCGGGCGTGCTGTCACAGTAGGTGGCCTGTTCCTTCACCTCGTTGACGCTTGGTGGCGAGAACACACTGTTGGAGTCATGAGCTCTGGTAGAGTTGATGGCGTTGAGCAAGTTCTGTCCCACAGTCGCTGGATTGGTCACACGGCCATCATCGGGCTTCTTCTCCGTGCCGCTGCTGGGTTGGTTCGTAATGCTTTGCGACTGCGGCCGACTCTCAGGAGGCTTGTCCATGAACTTTTGAAGCTGATCCTCCGCTTCATCGATCTCGTTAGCATCGAAGCCAAACCGACGAGTCAGATTCGAGAAGAGGCCCTTGCTCTTCCGCGACTGCTGTGGCGGAGGCGATCGGTGAACCTCTTCGGGACTGTCGTTCCCGAAAGAGCCCGGCATAACCGGCTCCGGTGTTTTTGCGGCTTGTCGGGCAGCCTCAGCAGCCTTTGCTTGCTGACTCCATTCTTTCTCTTTTTCTTGGATCCGCTTCTGCTCGGCTTCCAACGCCTTGCGGCGCTCCTCCTCAGCAACTCTTGCTTCAGCTTGCTTTGCACGGAGGATTCGATCGACGTTGTATCCTCGGGCTCTCAAGGCGTAGAGGTCTAGGTTAAGGAAGGGCTCGAAGTACAGATAGGCCTGCTGATTTGGCCGTGATAGGAGAAGCTGGCAGATAGCCTGACCAACCTGGTACATGTCAGGCTTATCTTCAGCTGCGACGTAGAGGATCCAACTTGAGCCGGATTGGGCGCTGGCGGCGGATCTCTTCTCCGTGTGAGATTGGCTGTGGCCCCTGAGTGAACGACGGAGTGCAACTGAGCGAACGAGTTCGACACGCAGGCTCTTCTCCAGCCACTTGGCATCATGTTTGATGTAATCCCTTCGATAGTTTGCATACTCGTGAAGGAAGATTTTGGACCGCTCGATAACATGCTTCCGCAGAGCAGCTGCCCGGTCCTGCTTGTCCGCATGAGGGCCAATTCTTACTTCCTCTTCCACAAGCGAGCTTAATGTCTGAGCGCCAAGCTGATGATAGAATTCCTCGAGCACTTCCTCTTCGGGCGCAGTGATCAAATAGTCCTTGAACAAGCGGTAGCTGATGATGTCGTCCAAGATGACGATTCGATTCGCAGTAGCCAGCTGGTACTGCTTAATAGGGGCATCGTCGTCGTCCACGTCAATAAGCTTATCCTTGGATGGCGGCGATGCGATCTCCTTGGCTGCGAGTAAGAAGGGAGAACACTTCATCTTGCGAATAAGCTCTTTGTCCTTCTTCAACGTCGGCATGTTCTCTGCTAAAGACTTCAGAAGAGCGAGGTACTTATCCGGGCTCTGAAGAATGCTGAGAAGTCGTGCGGGCTCGGTGCAAGCTAGATTAGCTATCTCTGGCTTGCTTGGTTCCTCCTTGGCTCCACACTTGAAGAGGAATGTGTTCGCGTTCGTCCCGAAGTCAACAAAATCAAAGATGTTACCGTATGTCGCCGAAGTACCTAGGTAGCATCGCTTGGGGCTGAGGTGGGTGACATAAGAGCCACTCTTCTCGCCTGAATCGCGAGCCTGCCGTATTACGGGAACAATGGGTGCGTCACGCAGCTTGGATAAGCTGCCCTCTCCAAGATCACTGTTCCGGAGGGCAAAGTACTCGAAGAGAGTGACAGCCATCTGTTGATCCTGAGGTGGCTTGACCAGCAGACGAGACACGCACTCAGTAATGGGTGGGTCCCTAACCACCCCAAACTTGTTGGCATGCACGTGAAGGTCTTTCTTCAGAATGTCGAAGCCTAGGATTGCGGCACGCTCGTTGGTGAAACAAGCCGAAGGCGTGACCAGCTTTTTGTCTTTCCCAATAGGCAAGAAAGCTTTGCGACTATCGGCAAGGTTGAAGGCCCCATAACCATTGAGGTGATGATTTGCAATGAAATAGGTCATCGCGGACGCTCTGAGCTCCGCATCTGTAGAAGCCATCATGTTGACCATTTCGATCACAGAGGGGTATGGTCGCAGGCCTAGGACGGCCAGGAATCGACCCTCCAAGCTATTAGCTCTATAGCTCCCGGGCGGACCAGGCCACTGCAACACAGGCAGCCGAAGAGTTCTGAGTGTATCTTTTGGCTCGAAGAGCTCCGAGACCTTGTACAGCTCAGTCATGTCTTTGGTTGACTCGCTTCCTTTCGCCCCAGTTTCTGCCGGACAAAATCGAGTATCCTTAAGCTTCATCATGTCGGCGGCGGGGATGTCATCCTTGACTGAGGCGAGGTACTTGATGAGCTCCATGTGACTCCACTTCTGCGCACCCTCAGCCGAGGGGCTCAACAATCTTGAAAAGATGGTGTCAAGGTCGACCGTCTTCCGTACTCCGATTGCCGAGAGAAACTTGTCTTTCAAGCCTTGGCAGCCTTGAATGATGGGCAGATCATCAAAAAGCTTGACGGTAGGGAGATATGAGTCGGTTGGCTTCTTCATGCCCGTCTTTGTCGGCATAACAGTATGAGCCTGGAGCAGAGTGATGATTACTGACTTGGAACTTTGGCTGATGTTGTCCCAGTTCTTGGACAGTACCGTAAGAACCTGAACGGCAAACTTTGGAGATTTTTTCAGATTTTGCTCGTCAGACCTGCTCGATCCCAACTCCAGCAGGAAACGCAACCATGGCACGACTTCCAAAGGCTCCCAACCAAGGGCTTGTAGCTCAGCAGTAGAACAATGGTTGGTGTATGCCATAGGTATAGTGCGCGGGGGAATTGGAAGATTCGCTGGAATCTTGTTCGGTACCTGATAATTGGCAATGGAACCAAGAGCAATGATATCGCCTTGGTCGCTGCCATCTTCAGTGACCGTGGCAACCGCGACATCCAAAAGGCGAGCTTTGCTGGGAGGATCCAGTTCTCCGCTAAGTGCCTTTTTACCGGCCCATGCAATGAAGTTGATGAGCTGCTCCTTATTCATTGCCTTGGCTTCCAGCTCTGTCCGCACGTCGTCAACAGTGATTGGGCTGATGAGTCCGAAGTCCATCAGCTTTCTGACGAAAGCATTTTCCATGAGCTCTCGGGGTACAACAGGGATGGTGTCGACGAACTTGCTGAGCTCGTCAGAGCCAAGTCGGACCTTGGTGCTGGACAAAACACCTCTAGAAGAGAAGATCTCGATAGAAGCCTTCTTGAAGGCTGTCCAAAACGCTTCCTCGAGAATCTGGGATACTTGACCGCTTGGTGTAGAATCAGCGAAAGTGAATGTCTTGAGGATGTGTAGTGCTTCAGGCAAAAGCTTGGCGAGATCTTCTGCGCCAATCTTTGCCGCAGCTCCAATCATATTCTTGACTTTGGAGTCAAGATCGTTCATCTCGTTAATGAAAGCAAGTCTTGTCATGATACCAGCCGCCCGGAGCATCTCGATGTTCCATGTCCTGACCCATCGTGCATTGAGATCAATAGCTTCGCGCTCAACCGTAGGAATGACTGATTGCGCCGAGATGTGCATGCCGGCACCGGTTGTCTGCGTTGTGGGAAACCCGATAAAAATGCGGCCGCCGGGCTTCTTGCTAGGCAACACTGAAGCGAACACGTCTACAGACTTTGAGATGGTGGCGGAGCGTGAACTCTCTGAAGCCATGGTCTCATCATAGGACGAGGTGAGAATGGCTAGCTTCGTGGTCTTTGGTGGTGGTTTCTTTGTCGCGCGCTCCAACTCGGTCGCGAACGAAGTTGATACGCTGGTCTTGACCCAGGCGGTCGTCACTCGCAGGAAGATGGTTGATGTAGAGAGCTTGGTCACGTCCTCACTAATCTCCTCCTGAGCAGCTGCCTCTTCTCTCTGCTGTCTCCCCTTCACAGTGACCTGTGACGCTGAAGACGTCAACCTCGAGAAGAAGCTCCGTAGTGAAGGCACTTCGGATCCAGCGCCATATGTGTCGGCTGACTTGGCCGCCGCCGTGGCCTTTGGCTTCCAGCCAGCAGCACTCATAACAGTCGCGTCGATCTGAGTGCTGGTTCGCTCGACTGTTTTAACCTGCATCAGACCCTCTCGTGTCCGGGTCTCAATATCTCTCGGGATGGGTACGTCGAGACTGGGCGAGGTCTTCTTGTGAAGATCCAGGATCTTGTAGTCGTCGATCCAGAACTCGACATGTTGCAGAGCGACGAAGGTCAGACTGGTTGCGAGAAACTGACTGACGGACAATAGGTTCGGTAGAGGAGTGGTGGTATTTCGGTAGTCGAGAACGAAGGTGGTGTCGCCGCTGCTCTGATCCTCGGGGAGAGTGGATTTCTTGGTAAAGAGTGCATTCCCTTTCCAGTAGAATGTCATGGCCTCGTTGCCGGAGCTCACAAAGGGCTCCTCACAGTCGGCAAAGACGCTGTAGAAGCCGACACCGAAAGCACCAATCTTTGTTTCATCGGGGTTGCCTTCGGCGATCCTCTTCAGTCTTCCCCAGTCGGTCTTGGTAAATGGCTGGCCATCGTTCGCCACGACGAGACGGCGCAGTGTGTGGTTCACGATAACATGCTTAAGAAGTTCGGATCGGTTCGTGGTGGCGGGGAGTGGGACTGAGGTCGAGGGCAGCGTTTCCCACTTGACCTTGACGGTTGTTGCTTGGGCGTCGGCGGCATTCTGGATTAGCTCTCGCAACGTTGTCCATTCGCCTGAGTATCTGGCAAGGACCTTGTCGATCAAGGCTCTGGTGTCGACAGTGACGGCTTCCTCTTCCTCGCCGCCTTGCAAAGCGGCGGCTTTCAGCCGCGAATAGTCCATCGTAGGGTGCTGGTCGGGATTATTACGGCGCGCATGCGATCATTGTCGAGTACGTCGAGTGCTTCGTGTGTTCGTCGGGACTTGAAAGAGGTGGACAAAAGACGCAGAAAACTTAGGAAGCCGTTGAACCAGATGAGTGAAGAATGCGGAGTGGCAGGAAGAATTATGTAGAGTGAGGTGGGAGGCAAGGTGGGAGGTGGGAGGTGAGGTCGTTGGGTCGGTACGTACGTAGGCAGCAGGTGGTGGCGATGGCGGGTATCATTCAAGGTGAAGTCGGTCCGTCGGTCGATGTTGAGGAAAGGTAAGGAAGGCTGAGACGCACGTTTCGCTCATGCAACAAGCACACCGAAAGGGGACAACGAAATGCGGGCTTCAACGATAGACCTTCAGAACGCCCCGAGCACCTGGAATAAGCTCAGGTCCGTTGATGACATTCCACAGGGACAAAAGGGTCGAGGAAAGAGAAAACGTCAGGTCGTCAGCTCCGTTTCGATGTCACCAGTGTTAGGTTTCTTCCTTTCAGGTGGACGCGCCGTTGCTACAGTGCTGCGCTGTACCTGAACCGGGCAGGCGGGCACCTAGAGACCGGGGCGACAGGAAGGTTTGGGGCTTCCAGGTTGCCGCCGACTTACCGTCTTTTGCCCCTCGACCAATCACATGATCTACTGATAAGACACATCTCGCCTCCGTTATCGCCATCCTTGCACCCTGGCGTGCCTGGATCCTTACCTTATCTTACAGGACCCTGCATCTGTTGCACCCGCAATTTGTAAGACCCGTTAACTCCGTATCTTAGGTAGCTTCCGTACCTTGCCTCACCTTACTTTGAAGCTGCCTAGGTAGCACGTAGGTACGGACAAGGTGAGGCCTTGATATGTCACTTAAGCTGCTGGAAGGTTTCCAAGACTAGCTGAATGAGAAGAAGGCGGTGTGACGATTCACCTCCACCCTGTGCCATATGTGTAAGTCAATGTACAGCGTTCTGACAGCAGCTGGTGGTAATCACGTTCACCAAATCACGGTGTAAAACCTCAGTCGGCGGCTGCCAGATAATAGAAAAACTTCTCGTTGTCCATTTCGCATAGAGGGCGCCCCAGGCACTGAAGGCCCTCACAACTATTACAATGCTTTTATGTGTGAAATTCTATAATACAGCATATCGATGCTGGCTCAGGTATGCCGGCCCCACTCGCTTGTGCATTTCGAAATTGGAATCCTCGTGTATCATCTTTACTTGGCCATAATGTCCACGTACCGTCCGCCCTTCTTCGCCTTCTTCGCACCCGGCTTTCGGGGTCCAGCCGCGCTGATCAAGTCGTCAATGCTACTGGCATTGCTCATACTTGTTGCCGGTCGGCTAGGAGGAGCGCTAGGAGGTCCTCCAACACTGTTGTTCGATACTGAACGCATCATGCTCGGCGGTCGCGGTCCTGGTGGCACTCCCAGGCTTTCGCTGGACGCAGCGTGCGCAAGTGCCGGGCCAGGCGGTCCTCCAGGAGGAGCACTTGCACGGCCCATGGGAGGTGTCATAGTGCGTGGCGGAGGTGGTGTTCCTGTGTTGGATCTCGAAGCCCCCTTCGGCGGCGGCGGTGTTGCCGTCTTTGCCTGTGTCGCTTCCGCCCCTCCCTTCTTGTTCACCCAGCGCTTCAGGTCAGGGTCGTACACGAAGCTGCTGGATTCACCAAGGTTGGCCTTGACGGGCTTGTTGCCCTGCTGGGGATCCGGACTAGGTTCCTTCTTGCCTCCGAACCAGCTGCCGAATCCCCATCCCTTTTTGGACTGTTGCTGTGCTGCTGCTCGCTTGGCTATTCGGTGTTAGTGTTGTCAACATGGAAGGAATATTTGCTTTGCTTACCGTCTTCTTCGGCCGCCTTCTTGAACATCTCTTCGTTTTCCTTGTCCTTCTCAGACTTCCCTTTCTCTTGAGGCTTAAGCGCCTTGAGACCGGGGATATCATCATCGTCATCATCCATGAAACTCTTGGGCTTCGGTCTTGATTCTCCCTCATCATCCTGTTCGGGCTCAGGGTTGTACGAAGGAGGTTCATAGCCATACGGCTGGAACGCAGGAGGTTCGTATCCACCACCGTCAGTGGGCTCTGCAGATTGTGATTGAGGCTCGTCATTAGACATTGATGGCGGTTCGTATCCGTAAGACGGCGGCTGGTAGCCTGGACTGGCCAGGTTGTTATCTGATTGCTGGCTGTTTTCAATCGTCTCCTGGCCCTGAACCTCCACTGAAGGGACAGCGGGGGCTTGACTGCCATACGGCTCGTATCCCTGGTACGCAGGCTTGGTCGGCGACTGCATTGGAGAGGCTTGAACAGCTCCTGACAATCCCTGGGCGGAAGCAGCTGTGTCTTGGCCACCGTCATACATAGGCGGAGTGTAACCTTGTGATGGCCCTGTCGCGTTCTGAGGCATGTATCCGCCATTAGAGTACCCAGGTTGTGAGTCCATCGACGTTCGTGGTTCATAAGGACTACGAGAATACTCGTTTGAGGAGCGTCCGACTGAAGCTGGGCCGGATGTGTAGCTAGCGCCGGGTTCGTAGGAGCTTGATAGAGGTGTTTGAGACGGGCCTGGCGCGTATCGAGAGGCGGCTCTCGTAACAGGGATGGGAACTGCAGCAGCAGGAGGAGACCCAACTGGGAGGCTGGTGGCACCTGCTCCGTAAATGGGCTCAAAGTTTGACACAGAAGGCGATCTACTGATAGTAGGAGTGCCTCCTGCCAACCGAGCGAATGGTCCAGATTCAGCACCACCCTCGCCAGATGCGCTAGCAGCAGAACCGTCGTTCTCGTCACCAGCAACAAACTTGTTAAATCGGCTCCAAACTGTATCCGAAACCTTGTTCATACTGGGCTTGGAAATCCAGGACGACGATTCTTCCTTGGGAGCCTGCCTGAGCCTCGTTCGCAAGTTTTCTACAGCGGTCTCCAGGATAGGATGGTGATAGTTCGACCTCTTAGTCTGAGCGTTGATGGAGCTGGCAATTGCCTCACAATATTGCAAGGCCTTGTCCCGAAGCCCATACTCAGCCAAAGTCATCGCGTGCTGGAGCTTATACGCAGCCAAGTGTGGCACGCCGACAGTTAGGGTAGGGCCTCCCGCGAGTGAAAGACCGTACTCGTAGACCTCGCTCAATAGTAAAGCCTCAGTCTCCTTGGCAAATTGCTCTCCTTGAGTCTTGTGATCAGCACCAACAAGGACAAAGTTCGAGGCAGGGTCATCGAGGCCCCCGAAAACTGTAGCCTTCCTAGCGAACAAGAAGCAGATGTGTGCGGCTTCAGCTCGTCCATACGAAGACAGCAAGTTGCCGAGGGCATTCAAGGCACGGACGTCGTCAGTACTGCGGTTGCTTAGGACCAGGCCCAAAGTCTCCCGCCACTTGTCGAGTCCTTCGGTGGCATCCTTAGTCGAACCACTGGCCGAGGCTGTATTGACGAGCTGGAACCCAGCCCGGGCGTGGGCCGGAACTAGCTCGTCAACACAGTCGTCAAAGTTGCCAGAGAGAACCTTGTAAAGCGCAGCAATAGACTCGTTGGCGTGTCCTGGGTAGTTGACCTCTTTCCTGACGAATTCCTGGGCGACTTGCTTGTAGAGATCTGGGGAAACGGTGTTGGAAATTAACATGGCATGACCCCAAAGTCTCTTGTCAGCAGCTTCCCATACCGCCTTTTCGCGATCGCCAACCAGGAGATGCTTCCGGATTTGATCCATTGCAGATGAGTCTACTACCTCTGCCTTCATCTGGGTTGAAGATGATTCTTGAAGAGCGTCGGCGCCGAGTCCAGCACCATAGCCAAGCGTACCCTCATTGCCATTGGCGTCGAGACCGGGGGATAAAACATCTCGCACAGCTTTATCCACGGCGGTGGTGCCTTCCAAAACACCGTCATGCTCGACAAAAACCCTCAGAATCTTCCAGAGCAACAGTCGCTCAACCGCGCGCTTATGCTCGTGAGGAAGCTGAGGTTGGAAAGATACTTCAGGTAGTTCTTTTTCCAGGGTGTCTATGCCTGAGCTCAACCAAGCGATCGTTTCCTTCTTCTTTGATTTTCCACGCAGAGGCCCGGGGAACTTCGCCAGCCTCTCTTCGAGCGGCTGGGTATCCTTGATATGTTTGACGTGTACTTCTCCTGGACTACGAATGATCATGGGAGCGGTTTGCCCCATACCATAACGCGGCACATTTTTAGGGAAAGAAGTTATCATAGTTCCGCCAACACCCCATGAGATAATCGGCGCCCCTTTCCATCTTTGCAGAGGATCGTTTTCGCGACCGTCAGTTGGCGCAACCCAGTTGAAGGTTTGCGAGGGCCCCCGGGGCCGAGAAACAGGGGCGGTGACAGGTTGGAAACTCCTAGTTGCTCGAGGGGAGGTTGGGCTATGGACCGACGTCGGCCGAGGCACGGGCTGGGACTGCGGGCGTGCTCCTTGAGAGGATCCTGGTGACTGGGTTTGGGATCTCGGTGGCGGTGCGTATCTGTTATCGGGAGGTGAGTCATGAAGGATGGCTTGTGGCAGGTAGTTAGATGTGGACCTCTTCGAAGGTGACAAAGTCGCGTGCATAGGGGGGCCGTGGGATGACGGCGGCGGTGTCTGCCGCGCGACCATCGGCGGTGCCGGGCTATATCGGGACTCAGAAGGCACACCGTTTGCAGGCTGAGCTGCATACGAAGTCTTCGAATCTTCCTCCTCCTCAACCTCGCGAGTAGTAGGTAGTGATGGTACTCTCCTTGGCTCAAGGGTGTAGCTCGACCTGCGGTCAGGTTGAGGGTGGTCTCCATTGGTCGCAGCCGCCTCACGCGAGACCTCAAAATGAGCCAACGGACTGGACGTTCTAGGCAAGTGCGGCAGAACAGTGGGAGGCGTGGTAGCCGCGTGGAAAGCGGGTACGGGAGGCCTTGCGGCTGTCGGAGCTGGTGAATATCTGCTCCCGGACGGCGGGCGGTGCATTCCATTGGTATTCGGTGCCGACGGAGGAGCAGGGGAGTACCTGGCATTGCCAGGGATTCCAGGGACCTGTTGTTGCGTCGTCTGAGGCGCATAGGGGTTGACACGCTCACCAGGTACCAAGTGTGGAATTCCACCCGAGAGCGAGCGGCTCATGCCAGGAGGCGACAACATTGGCGGTGACAGTGGTGACGGAGCAAGCTGAGCCTGGCCCTGGGTCTGAGGTTGCAGAGGCTCAGGCGGTCCAGCCAAAGCAGGAGAACCTACACGGTAGCTCTGTCGAGAGGCCGATCGTGGTTTTGAAGCCACGGGCAGCTCCTCGAAGAAACTATCCTTATTCCGAAGCATAGGGACGGGTTTTCCTGCTGGCGGTGGCTGCCCAGAGTGACTTGACGTCGGCGGTGAGGCGCTCGAGGTAACAGCTCTTTGCGGCGGCGGTGGCGTGGGAGCTTGCATGCTAGAGCTACGCGGAGGGGGACCCGACGATGGCCCCGTCGAAGGGCTTTGCGGGAATTGTTGTGTGCTAACCCTCTTTTTCGGGACAACAACTTCCATGGGAAGATCGTAAGGAGAAGTATACCCGCCCTTAGACTGCGCTGCAAAACTCTGGGCTTTGACAGGCTCAGGGCGCGTCTGCTGCGCATTGTAAGGAGCGGCTGACTGCGTACGCTGGGTAGCGTAAGGGGCCACTGCCGGAGTAAATGGAGAGGCCGCAGTCTGAGGCTGGTAGGGCGACGGCACTGCCGGCGCAGTCGGCGCGTAAGGGGAGGAAGCAGCTTGGTGGGGAGCAACAGAAGGAGTATATCGGTTCTGTTGTCCAGCGGATTGAACAGCCGGCGCCGGGACCGCAGTTGTAGGTAGGTCGTCATCGTCGTCGAGGAAGCCCTCGTCGTCGCTGCCAAAGAATGCCGATGGATCGACGGGCTTAGATTCGCCAGCCTCGTCGAGTGACTCGTCCAGAAGGAAGTCTTCTCCGTCGTCGTCTGCAAAAGCTTGTTCCCACTTAGCAGCAAGGTCATCAGCTGGCTTTGCTCCAGCATATTCCGACTGGATAGGCTCTGCAGGCTCCTCCGTCAACTTCGTAGTCTCATCAACGTCTTCATCCTCTTCAAGCATTTCGCCCAGCGTATCAGCTCTCAGCAGTGTGGTTGTGTTCATGTCGCCCATGACTTGCATTGTGGATTTCCGCTCCAGTGTAGGGTTTCCGCCAAAGTCGGGGAAGTCCTCATTGTTGGAGCTGTGGATCTGGCTGAAGAAGTCGTCCTCGCCTGCCACTTCATCTCCAAAGCTGGCAAGTTTCTGTTCGGGTTGAGAAACTTCTCCATTGGACTCAGAGAGGGGAATGAGAGGAACGCCCTCCTCGTAGCGGGAACCAAGATCCTCCTGCTCGGTAAACGTGGCATCGCGACCGACATAGTGCTGGTCATCCTGCGGTTCCTCGTCGTCGAAACCGTTTTCATAGTCGTTTGCAGCGTGATTCGTCTCTTCGAAAGCACCATTATCGAAATGTTCAGGCGCGCTCTCAATTTCGTGAATCAAGTCCTCGGCTTGGTTTGACGGAAGAGGCTGCTCCGTGCCAGGGACGGCTGTGGACACTCCGCTGGCAGGCGGGACAGGCGGAAATGAGTTCGTCCTTTCGTTGGGTGGCATGAACTTGAAAGGATCAGTGTCGGTCCGTGATAGGGTCCATTCTGTGTCATGGTCATCGTCCCAGTTGACCTCGTGGGAGACGGTTCGAGTAAATGAGTTGGTACTTGTATGGCCCAGGGTGGGTGCGGACGGCTTGGGTTCGTAGGCTATAGCTTGCGGCTGCGGAGCGATCTCATCGGCCAGTTCGGCAGAGGGGAGCAAAGTCGTTTCTGGCTCGGCAGCTGCGGTCGAGGCTGAAACTTCTTTGAGGTCGTCGTCGCTAACGGCCGGTGCATCTGACACTGGTCTTTCGAAAACAGGCCAATCGTCCGAAGCATCTCTGCTGTCGTCCTCGGCGAGCCAAGGACTGCTTTGCTCCTCCGGCTTCGGCTGAAGCTCCAGCTGTGTCGCTTGTGATGGGGGTGTAGGCTTGACATCTTCAGCAAGCTGGCTGTGAAGAGGAGCTGTCGATGGTGAATCATGGGTTTCTGCGCTCGGGGAAACCTGAGCTTCTGTGGTTGCATGACCACTAGCATCATTGGGCATGAAAGCCGGATGCCACGAAGCGTTCGCGGTGGAAGTCATGGTATTTATTTAATTAGGTGGAATCATGCGGGTTCGCGATGTGGCTAGATCGAAGGCTCGAGGAAACAGCTAGGTCGTTGATGGTCAGCACGAGACACGATGCGCGAGTCCAGGGGATTGGCGTCGCATAACGCGACAACCAGGCCGGGGGGATGAACGTAAGAGTTCGACAGAGAGGCTGAGAGGGACGGAGCGGAGAACGTACATGTACAAGAGAAGCAGAGGTCTAGATAGAATACACAGCGACAAACTCCATGGTGAGCTTCAGAGTTTGTGGGTCGAAGGTGAAGATTACAGAGGCAAAGGTGGTTTTTTCTGCTGGACGGGGGGAGAAAGTCTAATGAGCCAAAAGGCATGAAGCATGAGGTGGCCGTGGCTCAAGGTGCAACTGCAAGCTGGCAGGTACGATGAAAAGGCAAGGTCTGGCGCGGTACATGTGGCATGTATCTCTTGGTGTGTCCAATGTGGCAAGGTACATGCATATCTTCGAGGGCCCGAAAGGAAGGTACCTATGTACCTAAATAGGTATCTGTACGGATACGGATTTGGCTGGGAAAATCCACGAGTCCGTCAGTGCTGTCTTGGCTGGAATGGTCCACCGTCCACCCAGTCACAGGTCCAGAATCAGTGCCGATTCCGTCATTCCGCCTTCAAAAAGGGCCACCTCAGAGGTTCAGTCGAACACTGCTCCGTACCTAAGATACAGAGATAAGTACGGATACGCGGGCTTGCGGCCACATCAGAGACCCGAGGATCCTCCGGGTGCGGCACTGACAGTCTGACAATGACACAGGTGGTGAGTGAGGTGACATTGATTATCGTTCCGAGGCACCGTTTCCATGTCAATGAATAAAGGTGGCCAATCTGGAATGGAATGTGTCACCAATTCACTAGGGAACCGTTTTGAGAGGTGGCACAAGCTATAGGTAGTAGTATGATAATGGAAGTATTATGTATCCTGAGACAACTCTTGGAAGAAAGAAACGCGAGAAGAAAAGACTCGGCCAGGAACCAAGTGTTTATACATCAAACATGCGAGCTATTTTACCAGATGTAGGAAACCTAAGGTATTGCCCAGGGAACCTATCCGTACATACCTTGTATCTGTGAGATGAACTGCTCTCCGCTGGAGGGAGGGACGGCTTACACCGGGCCGCTGCATCTAGATTCTAAAGTCCATTTGGCCACCTTACGGCCCCGGGCGTGTTCGGGCAGCGAATTTACAGCGCACTAAAGGCCACGCGGCAGCCTCCGTCACTTAAAGTGCCCCCCGTGTCATCCCTGGAATACTTGCTGAAAACTGGATACTGCTCCGACAGCACCCGCCCAATGAGATCGGCTCAGCCTTCCCAGGAGACCTCATTCACGCCTCTAAGCCTCCAAGTCTCCAAGCCTCTCTCAGCATGCTTGCGACAACGGGATACTTGTCCAAAACACCACGACTCTTCGGCGCTCAACCTGCTCATCGCAAAGTACCAACATCGCTGGCGTGACCGGACGATACAGCTCACCGCTGCGTACACTTGAGCGCTCACGCCATCATCTTACTCTTTCCTACCGAAGCTATCCGATGCAGCTCTCTGAGCAACAGCACAGGCACCCTCGACCGAACTCTATCACGGCTTCCCGCACTGCGGCATCTGCCTAAAAAGTTGCACTTTGCATATACCTCCTCCCAATGCGGGCGGGATGCCTTCTCCAACCTCATATCGTCCCGCGGACCCGCCAGGCTCTCCAGGGAATGATTCCGATTCAGACCTCGATCTCGATATCCAGGAGCTCGATCCTGCCACTACCACAACCGATCGCACCTCTGGCCTCCTCCGCCACGACCGTCAGACCACCGAACATCGATCGCCACGTATAGCACTGCGAAATCTACGCATGGGGGGCTCACGCCGAGCCGGACAAAAGGCCAGGGGATATGGCCAACTTGGCCAGGACCGAGATGGCACCAGCGAGGATGCTGAAGCACTTCTCGGCGAACCCGGAAGCTCTTCATCACGATATAGAGATGGGACCGCTGGTGCAGGCTCCGACGACGACTCTCCTCTCTTACCCGGTGGCTCGCCTCCGAGGCGTCGATCCTTCGCCGGGGACAGATTCGAGCGACTTACCTCTAGCATTAGATTACCGAGCTTCATGTCGAATTCAGGGGCGCAAGAAACAGACAAGGACGATTCCCAGGACCAAGATGAAGACGATCCGTCCAGCGCCCGCCTTATTGCTGTAGGATCTTCCCAAGCGACGAGATTCCCGCCGAACCTTATATCGAACGCCAAGTACACAGCCCTTACGTTTCTACCCGTCACTCTGTACAACGAATTCTCCTTCTTCTTCAACATGTACTTTTTGCTCGTGGCTTTATCGCAAGCGATTCCTCCATTACGGATCGGTTACCTTACGACTTACGTGGCGCCTTTGGCATTTGTGCTTTTCATTACCATGGGAAAGGAGGCGTACGACGACATCGAACGAAGACGAAGAGACAATGAGGCCAATGCTGAAGCATACACAGTTTTGTCATTCGATGAGCCAGGCCGTGGCATGGGTTCTGCACAACGTACACACAAGAGGCTCAAGTCGGATTCCATGAGGAAGAAGGGCAAAAACTTGGCGGGCTTGAGAGACAGACTCTCGGATATTCAAGAGGAAGAAGAGCGAGCTGAGGGAGACGGATCTATCGCCCAGCCTTCCTCGTCAGTCCTTGAGGTCAGCCGTAAGTCGCGCGACCTCAAAGTCGGCGATGTTCTTGTTCTAAGCAAGGGTCAACGAGTTCCTGCCGACGTTGTGATTCTGAAATGTATCACATCAGAAACAATTACCGACGCGCCGGTGATGGAGGTGATTGCGGAAGAGGAGTCGTTGCTAGTCGATGCTGAAGAAGAGCAGTCCAAAGCCCTACAAGTTTCCGATACCAAGGGCAAAGAAGCCGAGAGCAACGACGCTGGCGGCGGTGCCGCTGGCGAAACATTCATCCGAACTGATCAGCTTGACGGAGAGACAGACTGGAAGTTGCGTCTGGCGTCCCCCTTGACGCAAAACTTGGCCACGGAGGAGTTTGTCCGCCTACGTGTAACGGGAGGCAAGCCGGATAGGAAGGTCAACGAGTTCATCGGCACAGTCGAGCTGCTATCCAGCAAACGGGATGCCCAAAGCCAGCAAGCAGCGCTTGACGGGGGTGAAGGCACCTCGGCCCCGTTGTCAATAGACAACACAGCCTGGGCGAACACAGTAATCGCCTCCAACGCCACTACTCTCGCTGTCATCATGTACACGGGACCTCAGACGAGGTCAGCGCTGTCGACTGCCCCCTCACGGTCCAAGACTGGACTTTTAGAATATGAGATCAACTCGCTCACCAAGATTTTGTGTGCCTTGACTTTGGCGCTTTCCATTATCCTTGTGGCGCTGGAAGGCTTCGGAAACACCAAAGACAACGTTTGGTACATCAAGATTATGCGTTTCCTTATTCTTTTCTCGACTATTGTGCCCATCAGTCTGCGTGTCAACCTCGACATGGGCAAGAGCGCTTACTCTTGGTTCATTCAACGAGATCCCGGCATTGCTGGAGCTGTTGTGCGAACGAGCACGATACCGGAAGATCTCGGAAGAATCGAGTATTTACTCAGCGACAAGACTGGCACGCTGACCCAGAACGAGATGGAAATGAAGAAAATTCATGTCGGCACCGTCTCCTACGCTAACGAGGCCATGGACGAAGTCACATCGTACGTCAAGCAAGGGTTCCACATTCAACCTACTACCGATCCTTCATCGCACACGATGTTGATCACGCCTTCTTCGACATTTGCCAACTCGTCAAACGTGGGTGCTACACGCACAAGAAGAGAAATTGGCACTCGTGTCCGAGACGTGGTTCTCGCTCTGGCTCTGTGTCACAACGTGACGCCAACAACAGAGGAAGAAGACGGAAAGACCGTTGTTTCTTACCAGGCCTCCTCTCCTGACGAGATCGCCATCGTTCGCTGGACCGAATCCGTCGGTCTTCGCCTCGCCTATCGCGATCGCACCAGCATGGTTCTTGAGTCAACAGAGAACGGCCGTGAAATTGTTCGCGTGCGTATCCTCGACGTCTTCCCCTTCACATCCGAGGGCAAGCGCATGGGTATCATTGTTCAGTTTTTCGATCAGACTCAGTCTACGGTGCCAAATCTCGCCAACAGCGAAATCTGGTTCTATCAGAAGGGTGCTGACACAGTCATGAGCCCCATTGTGGCCGAGAACGACTGGCTTGACGAAGAAACCTCCAACATGGCTCGAGAGGGCCTGCGTACACTTGTCGTTGGCCGGAAGCGCTTGTCTTACGAGCAATACAAGGAGTTCACCGGGAGCTACCAAGCGGCTTCTTTGGCTATCGCTGGACGAGACGCTGGTATGCAACGTGCTGTGGCTCAGTACCTGGAGCGCGATCTGGAGCTTCTCGGCGTCACTGGTGTAGAGGACAAGCTGCAAAAAGATGTCAAGCCATCTCTAGAGCTTCTGAGAAACGCAGGCATCAAGATTTGGATGTTGACTGGTGACAAGGTTGAAACAGCTCGCTGTGTCGCCGTCAGCTCCAAGCTTGTCGCTCGTGGCCAGTACATCTACACCGTTTCCAAGCTTAAGAAGAAGGACAACGCGCAAGATCACCTCGATTTCCTCCGTGGCAAGACGGATTCTTGTCTCTTGATTGATGGCGAGAGTCTGGCCCTCTTCCTCACCCATTTCAGGATCGAATTTGTGTCCGTGGCTGTGCAACTCCCGACGGTTGTCGCATGTCGATGCTCGCCCACGCAGAAGGCCGAAGTCGCCAAGCTGATCAGAGAGTACACTAAGAAGAGGGTCTGCTGCATTGGTGACGGAGGCAACGATGTTTCCATGATTCAAGCAGCAGATGTCGGTGTTGGTATTGTGGGCAAGGAAGGTCGGCAAGCTAGTTTGGCGGCAGACTTCTCGATTGAGCAGTTCTACCACCTAACTAAATTGCTGGTCTGGCACGGGCGCAACAGTTACAAGCGCAGTGCTAAGCTCGCTCAATTTGTTATCCATCGTGGATTGATCATTGCGGCCTGCCAGACGATGTACAGTATTGCCATCAAGTTTGAGCCCGAAGGTCTCTACAAAGTATGTTGACTTCGTCTGATTGTACATGTTTGTTCTTGTTTCTAACCTTGGGTCGCAGGACTGGCTTCTCGTCGGATATTCCACCGTGTATACTGCCTTCCCCGTTCTCTCCCTCGTCCTTGACAAGGATGTAGACGAAAACTTGGCGAATCTGTATCCGGAACTATACAAAGAGCTCACTTCCGGCCGATCCCTGTCTTATCGTACCTTTTTCGTCTGGGTTGCCGTTTCGATCTATCAAGGCTGCACAATTCAAGGCCTATCACAGCTTCTAACCGAAGTCGACGGGCCCAAGATGGTGGCAGTTTCGTACACCGTACTAGTTCTCAACGAGCTCCTCATGGTCGCCATCGAGATTACGACGTGGCACCCTGCCATGATCATCTCGATCGTTGGCACATTTGTCATTTTCGTTGGCTCCGTGCCGTTCCTCGGTGGTTACTTTGATCTTCAATTCATCATCACTTTGTAAGTCATCTTGGCACTCATGCCCCATAAGAATTACGCAGACTAACCAAACTCCAGGGGATTCATCTGGCGCGTCCTCGCCATCGCGGCGATATCTCTCATCCCACCCTATGCGGTGAAGCTCATTAGGAGGACGATGAAGCCGCCCTCGTATAGAAAGGTGCAGAGCACGTAGAAACCGCACCAGTGTGTTGTGTTGTATTATCGTTGTTGAATGAGATCTTCTTTGTATCTATCTTCAAAGCTCTGTGTAAGCGCGTCTGGGATCGGTGTCAGCGAACGGGGTCCACGGCCATTCAAAGGGAAAGGCTGCTGCGGTTTTTGCATTATTAGGCGGAGTTGAACGGGGACCTGGGAAACTGTTTTTTTCTTTTTTTACCCAACTTTGTACGGCATTATTCGGATGGGGCCATCGACAGCCCAGAAGAATTAGACAGCGTTATCGAAATTCGAGTTTACTGTGCAATTTTGTGCTCCTCTTGCCTCGGTGTGTTTTACATGACTCTGCTCTATGGAATGATGTACATGAACTCTCACTCAAAAGAGAGAGTGTTTTCCTACAACTTGAGAACGATCCAATCCTTCAAGATGTCTGGGTTCCGCCTCTGCATCGCGCCCAACATACCCCCCACAGGCCCTTGCAACTGCCCGCCATCCCTCCATAACTTAGCGCCAGCATACGCCTTGACAAAGCCCTCGGGCCCCGAAACTACAAAGAGGTTCTTGCCCCGCGGCGCGGCGTCGTCGGCCGAGCAAGCGCAGTCGTCCTGCTTGAAGAGGCTTCTCTTCCCGGCGTTTGGCGCGCCGTCGACCATGCCGATGTGTGCCGTCTGGGAGTGGAATTTACAGCCTTCGACTGCGTGTGTCGGCGTACCGGCAGAGGTTTTGGTGAATGGTTGAAGAGTGAGCGCCGCGGAGAGGTCTGCGTCGCGGACGGCGGTGCCTTCTTGGTCTACTACAACGCGGACGTCGAGCTTGTCGCCGTATTTCACTTTGAGGGCGAGGAGGTCCCTGCTTATAGGCGAGGGAGCGGCAAGAGTCTCTGCGGAAAGGAGAGACTCGGCCTGGGGTCCGGGCGTGTTTCCTGATGATGAAGATGATGAGAATGGATTCCACCAGCTCCCCGACGACGATGACGGCTTCACCTGCGGTGGCGCCGCCGCCGCAAGCCCCCCGACCAGCTGCTCCCGGATCTCATCGCGGCTCCTGACGGCCCAGAAGATGGTCATGGACGGTCCGTCTGGGAGCGGAAGGACGGCGTGCGCGGCTTGCATAGCGCTGGCGATGCCTGTTCCGCCTGCGAGGAATACTACGCGGTCGCCTCGTTTGCCTAGGCGGGAGCGGAGGTCGAATTCGCCGTGGGGCCCGCGGAGTTCAACTTTGTCGCCCTTTGATGGAGTGCCATCTGACGATGAGAGAGTAGAGGAAGGGGGTGCCAGACGGCTTAGGTACGTCGAGACTTCACCCCCTCGTACGGCGCGAACGTAAAGACGGAGGGTATCCTCATCGTATGAGGAGCCTGGGACGGGGGGCAGGGGCGTGTACTCCCTCGCGACCTGGATTTGGGGTTGTTTCACCTCCACGCACCAGAGGTCGAAGATGCCCCAGAGGGAGGATACGCTTGCGACGTTGCTGTTTCTGCTGCCGCGAGGTGCTTTGAGGGTTAGGATGAAGGAGCTCGGGGAGACCTGCTCGCGGGCGACGACGTCAAAGGGGATGAACTTGCGCGCCGGGCCGAGGGCTGTTTGGGCAGCTGGATCGTTTGATTCGGGTGTGGAGGGGAAGAGCCATTGGGCGTCCCATGCTATGCCGCCTACTGCGAGGAGGATGAGGACGGGGAGGTAGCGGGGGCTTATGAAGGTGGAGGATTTGCGTTTGGGGGGGCGATGGGGTTGGGGGGCGGTTGGAGTTGTTGTGGATTTTAGGTGGTAATGGCGCACAGTTGAGGATGAGAATGCGGATAGTTGTGGTGTTGATGTTCGCCGGTGCGTCCAAGCGGAAGAGTGCCGTAATGGCTGGTTCAGATGCGTTGTCGTTGACCGGGATGCGGCTGCGGCGGCCGGAGTGGCACGGAGCTGAGGTCGGATGTGGGTGAGTGAGCGCCCGGCGATCGGCCGGAGAGCCGCGCAACCGGCAGAGATGAGCACCGAGGCCCCCATCAGGTTCGGGATACAAATTGATTTACTGTAATGAGATCGTTTAAATTTGGTGTAGCTTTTCCAACAATTCCTGCAAAGAAACGATGCAGAAGATGGTGACGAACGTCGATGATGAAAGCTCCTAGTGGGCTAGTTCCGCTGGGCGAAGCTGAGTTGCGCACGGTCACGTGAGTCGCCTATTTGACCATCGCTCAAGAACACTTACTCACCCGGGATCGATGCAGATACTCATTCCACTATACAGTGTTTCGACGTTGTATATACTACACTGGATTGGAATCTGAAATCAGATAGCGTTGGATTGCATAGGGTATTGCGTAGATACTACACAAAGGTAATGCGAGCTCAGAAGTCCTATTAGATGCCTCAAGGCAAGACATGCAGCATTCGAAAACTTGTTGAAAACGGCGGTCTCCCTAGTAGAGAACGGAACGATGGTAGACGCTTCAGACGGCTTCTCAATTCTTGAGTTTCAGGGTACTTCTACAGGTAGACTTTGAATAGGTACATTGGCAGCGTTCAGGAGACCTCTTGACCAGTCATGTACTCATCAGAAGAAGGTCGAAAGATGCGCAGGTCACAGTCCAATCGTCAAAAATCCCTTTAACATCTTTATTTGGGCCATAAATTGGTGCACCGCTAGGGTTCAGAGTTTTTCTTCACCATCCGTGACCACCGAAGAACACCACAAAAAAACATACCAGATCCTATGCTTCAGCTCAAACATCAACTGGGTAGTTGTCAACCTTTAGATGCCCACACAAAGCAGGAAAATCATCAAGCAAAATGGAGGTGTCCTCCTCGCTACAACACTTGTGTTACAGACCGTATTCGTGGACAAAGGTTCTTCTGCAACGGCGTAAAGAGTGATGTGAGATCGTCTAGTTGGTTTGAGCTAATAAAGACAACCCGATTCAACCCCGGGGGAAATTTTGATACTCGGCTGCCCAGACAGGATAGGGCAATCATCAAGCAAAATCCAGGTACCCTTCCTGCCACGACACTCGTGTCCCCAAAGATATTTACTTACCAATATTCTTCTTCAACGCATGAAAAGTGACATGGTCTTGTTGGGCTGATGACGATAATGCACTTGAACGCACAGACTAAGCTTTCATTTGTTCAATAGCACAACCAGCCCGATGCTAGCCTTCGACAAATACAACTTCAGGACTACGACAGCAAAAAATGACGATGCGAACAAAGACGTTGAAATCCTACCCCAACAGTCTTTAAAGGATAAAGTGAAGAAAACCATGTCAAGGAGTCCGATCAACCTGGCTATGAAAACATAGTGAGACTCTCTATCAGAGCTCCATACCGCCGAGACTTTCAAACCCACATTCGCCTCCTCCCATAGTATCCGGCTTTGCGCACGTATTCGTGAGTACAAAGTCTCTATAAACGCCGAGAGAAGACGCATGAAACGTTTGTGTTGAAAGTAATGCACATCACTAAGGCCGTCATCAATGCCAACCCGTCTCTCCTCTACACCAGTCAGTTACCACCGAGCAATAATTCGGCTCCAAGGTTTGCCAAGTCCATGAATAACATACCATCGTCTAGGCCACCTTTATATACAGACGGAATGATGTGCTCTGCTCAGATGATGTGAGAGCATCGCTAAGCTGAAATGGAAGATTCAGAGAGGGAACTCATCAGATCTACAACGACCTACCTACATCAGTGAGAAAGCCGTAACATATTTGGGACTCAGGTACCAGGTTCTTGATAGGGGGCCTAGAGCCCTGGTCATCTAGCATTCGAGTATCTCGCAGGCTGTCTTCATCACGCAGAAAGGGATTCTCCGGGACTGATAAATAACTGGGTCTTACATTTGACTTCAAAGCCTTTGATGCTGAAAATTTTGAGAGTCTCTGTCTATAATACTTGAGCCTCTAGTAGTTCTGCGTAACCCCACGCCATTGTGCCACCCAGGAGATGTCCCACACTCTATGTTATACTACAAGCAACTCTTACACAGCCAACTTCATCAGACAAACCCACCCACTCTATCAGAGCCTGATGATCTTCCTATCCTCATTAATACCACCCCGGAACATGTCAGCAACGACGCGACCCCCGAGAACCGTCTCATTGACGATCCCCTCAACGTGCTTCGGCTCAACCCTTCCATACCAGATCCCCTTCCCAGCCAGAGGATGCTTCTCCCCATCAGCCATAAGCTGACCGGGCGGGACATAGATGATGATATTCCCCGCAAACTTGTGCCCGCCAATATGGCTAATCAGCCCGACCCGCGCCGACATCTTCTGTTTACCCCCCTCACCATCCCCGCCCTCAGCCGACTCAGGCGCCGCAATCCTTCCAGCTTCCCCCTCACCACTCTCATCAACCACAACAGGCCCCCTCAAAACACCAACCCCAACCCCCTCAAACCTCCTCTCAAACTCGTCCCTCAACACGGGTCCCATAACGCCGCACCGCATATCCCGCCCGCCGTGCCCGCAAATCAGCACGAGCACCTCCTTCACGTCCTGGACCCCGTACAGCAGCGACCGGTACGCCTCCTTGCGCGTCAGCCGGTCCCGGTGGATCGGCGACAGGCTCCCGTCGTGCATCTTGTGCAGCTTCTCCGGCAGGAGGTAGCCCTTTGCGAGCGCCTGGACGCTGTCGAAGCTGACGCGCGGTAAAAAGGGCACGTACTTGAAGCTCGGGAGGAGGTAGGCGCTCGTGGTCTGCAGCTCGCTCCGCTTGGGGACCGAGGAGGGGAAGGAGGCGTTTAGGGTTGAGATGTTGTGCCAGGGCTGTGATTGTGAGAAAAGGGGTTTCACTTACCGTCAGCCCAAGGTGTTCTCATATAATCTCATGTGTAACAGTTCGCGAGTGAGGGAAAGAAAGGGGTACATTTTTACTGCAATGGCAAGTATGACTACTGTCAACCTCGCTGGCTGTTCTCCTGTAGAAGATACTGGCCATCGATCCTCCCCACAGGCATATACACTTATACATACCCTCAAAGCTGAAGGAAGAATGAGAAGATGACATGAGAATACTTACATCGCTATACGTCCCCCCGCGGCCAAACAACTCCTTCAAATCCGCCGCGAGGTTATCCCCGCTATTCTCCTCCTCGATCCTCGACACCCAGTCGTCCTGCCCCGTACACACGAGCACCTGCTCAGCGTACCCCGAGACGACACCGTTGAGCGGGCTCTTGAAGTCAATGTCCAAGCCCTCGGGCATCGCTGGCGTCGCGGCGCACTCGCAGGTCGGCGACGGACATGTCGGGACGAGCTCAAACGGCGGGGGAGGCGCCGACGGCCTGTTTGCCTGTGGCCTTGACTTGGGCTTTGGCGAGGACGATGAGGATGACCAGCTCACGCTGGTGCTCAAGGTGCGCCGCTGTCGCCGCGTCGGTAGCGATGACGTTGACGACGATACTGACTGGTATGAGATCGCCGCCGCGCGATACCCTCGCGTGAGACGCGGTGCGGCTCTCGCTATCGAATGCATCATGTCCTTTGGGATGCGTAGTATACGAATACGTCTCTTCGCCGATGCCAAGTGTGTCTCTTTCACTGTGCTGGGATTCCAACCAGATGCCGGCGTATACTCAGATGGAGTGGCGTCGCAACACTCTCAGACAGAGCCGCGATCGACGTCACCAATCAAGCAGAACGAGAGAAAAAAACGGATACGTTGTCATCAAAGGTACGTATTCGCACGATGAACAATACGACAGCTTTCCACGGGATCGTAAAGGGCACCCAGGGAGGGAGTGTGAATTCGCAGATGAGGCGTAGATTGGTAATTGGCAATTGCAGACAGGTATCCATTTCTTTTCGGTAGTTGGTCACTCAAGGAGTCAAGGCCCCCCCCTCCTTCCCCTGGACTGCCCCCCTCGGCGCTCGCTGCGGACCTTGGCCCCGGCGCCGAGCGGGAGTGAGAAGACCGGGACACCTCGAAAAGGCTACCCGAAAACCCCGGCGGGGAATTCTGACAGCGATGCGATTCATGCGGATGTCTGATCACTTCTCTTGTTAGTGGGCTTCTAGTGGTAATGTTAGGTAATCCCTCATTTCTCACTGGCGCGGCCGATAGCCGGCGGGGAGAGGGAGAGTCCACCGCCTGTAGGTTCCCTGATGAGGTTTTATTCCTGCGAACGGGTACCGCCGGCCGGCCGGTACTGGAAAGTTATGTCCGGCTGACACATCCCCTTATTCCGCTACGGATACAAACTTCTCTTCCATGATTCCCATCTATGGAGTACTTCTTCCCCCTCCCGCTGTCGTATGCGGCTTTGCACGTGAAAGCAAATTTCCGCATCCGAACCCCGTACCCAGGGGGGAGGGGTGTAGTGTAGTCCCTCAGTCAGGAGGCCGGGGGGAGGGTGAGGTAAGCAACCTACCAGGGCCATGAAGGATCATGGTAAGGTAGTTCATCCGCCTCGGAGCCGAATTTCGGGTTCTGAACCTCGAGAGTCCCAAGTACTCCGTACCATGCCAAAAAAGGACCGAACATGGGAGAGTTCGGGCGGGAAACCGATTGAGTGAAAGACAAAACGAGCGCACGGGCAGAAAATGGTAGTGTAGCTTTCCAGGTTCTAGCGCTGGCGCGGGCGCGCGGGAACACCGTACTTCGTACCCTGGCCGAATCCATGATCCTATTTGCTTTTCATCCGCTCATGTTCAAGGGTTCCACAGCCGGGGGGCTTGGTAAAGTGGGAGACCGAGGAAAATAGATGGGCAATAGGTGTCCATTGTGAAAGAGTGAGTGAGTGGTTGGAACTTGGAAGTGAGCAGAGACTCGAGAGAGCCTCTATCATTCCAGCGCACATTCACCCGGCAATCTTCCAGGGCCGAAATAGGCTGGGCTGGGCTCGACTCTGAGTTAAACGACGGGATACCAAATAAACCACATTTCTCTCATCTCACTCTCATCTCAATTCACCAATCACCACCTACCTTACACAACCCGGGTATCGCTCCCGAGACTGAGCTCACCCGACTGGAGCGCAACAACCGCAAAGAAGGATTTGCAGCGTACGAATGCGCTAAGATGGTAAGATTGTTGATTACCAAACACACACATACCCGGCGAACAGTGCGAAGCGGGAAAGAGGCCCTGATTGTCGTCCAGTGTCCACGGCCCGGAAGTCAACGGCATCTAATCAAGGGGCCCCAAAAGCTTGGCGATCGCGACACATGGAACGGAGAATTCGCAATCACCTAGTGATAGATAGATACGGATAGCTCACACACAAAAGAATGACGCCGCCCACAGTCCACTAAAGTAATGAATAGAGATAAGATAGATCCCTATCCGTTCACTGACACGATAGCGTGCCGATTGAAAGTGAGAAACTTCAGATCCGGTTATTCCCATCCCCCGTGTCCGTGTCTGACTTGACTCCGTAGAGTGAGACTGCCATGGGCACGTCTCTGCACATCATGGCCCAAGCTTCCGAGACCTTGTCTTGCAAAAAGCCGGCAGGCAGGCATGGGAAGGGGGAGGAGTGCGAGTGGGGGATTTGAGACATGGAAGAAAATCAAAAGGCAAGACACACGACTACCAAAACCGGGCGAAATCAAATCATTGTGAGGCTCTTTTCGGGAGCGGGAGTTAAGGTAGGGAGCGAGCGAGCGAGAAGGTGGAATGTGGTCCGTGAATGGATCCGATCATGGATGGCCCACTGGGATCATGAAATAAATGAATGAGATGGAGGTTAGGTAGTTAGGAAGAGATGATCGGAGGAGGGAACCACACACCCTTCCCAAAAGCCGCTTCTCTCTCTTTCTCTACTCCAACCATCCCTCATGCCCTTGTTTTAGTGAATATGTAGTAATAGGGGAACGGATACCGTAGTTGGGTCTTGACTTTTGTGACCCTTCAACGACTTGGTCTTCCGCTCCTATCCAAGCCCTCCGCAGTACCGTACCCATGCAGAACAATCAACACAACAGGGGAACGAGAAAGAAAAGATGCAAAAAGATGAGATGAAAAAAATGCAGAAAAGTAACCGATCCCTCCCCCGAGATCCAGCAGGCTAAAAGCCAAGGGTGCGGGAAGAAAAGGGAAAGAAAAGGGGGAGGAGGGGTATTGGTGGTTTAGTTGTTTGGAACTTTTTCTTACTTCCTTCTTTTGCTTCCTATTTCTCTCTAGCAGTATACAGCTGTATTTACCGAGACGAGACCAACAGCGAGGGGAAAGAAAGAAAAAGAAAAAAAAAAGGGCACCGCATTGCATTGCATGTCGTATCTGTTTTCGTGCAGCACCGCGAGATTGGACTCTCCACTAGGGGGATGGATGGGATGCCGAGGGGCAACAACTCTTCTTGCTCCAGAGTACTCTTGTATTTCTGCACTTTAGAGTAGCTGGTCTCCACGACCGGTGTGTGGTCCGCCTCACCGGTCCGACAACCCGATTCAGGTCGTCGTTGGTTCGCTTGCGTTCCGTTCCAACGACTTTTTGTCGCCAAGACCAAGGTAGTTAGGTATCCGTAGGCAGGATCAGCTAGACAAGGTTGGTTACTGCGCAAGTGAGTTGATCAAGGTTACAAGAATTTGCAAGTTGCAGAGAGTTGTGGCAAACGAAAAGGACCATCCGTCATTAGCCCCGTCGTCTTTCCTCTCTCTCTCTCTTCGCTGGCCGTACCCGTATGATGTAGCTATCGGCTGAGACGCCCTCTTTTAGTCTTTCTCAGCCCCAGCTCCTGTCTACCGCTGATCAGGCCAAGTACCTGAGGTAGAGTTGCATCCCGGGACTTAGACGCACCGTTGAGAAGCCGAGCCGACACATACCGCATGCCGCCTTCCGCATGCCAATCATGCGACTGACCTGAGACATGCAGACCGATCCCTCCCCCATTCTGCAGTGTTCACGGTACAAAGGGATGACATAGGGCAGATGGCGACTGTGTTGTGCGTGTGTGTGGTTCAACCAAAGTGCGTGGGTGGTGTGTTCCCATCGCCCCTCTTTCGTCTACATACTGTAGGTATCGTGCTTAATGCTAAGTTGCCAAGGGTGTCCTTCATAGGCTGCCTGCCAACATATTCTCAACCACACATAGCACACGTCCTGTTCCTCTTCCCGGCTTTGCTCGGTCGATGTGTTGCTTCCATGGATTGCTATCCTCATATACAGGGTATATAATGTTACATAGATGAATGAGAGCAAATTGTCTGCATATACAGCCATGTGTTGTCTCTCTGATCTCGTGTAAAAAGAAAAAGAAATACATAGCAATTGTCCAAATGCGCCCCCAACACCGTGAAATGCAATGCAGATGTGAAAATGGTAAAAGTATAAAACGACTGGTTGCGGAAATGTATGTCTGTTAACCTCGTGTGTATACAATGTCCACAAGAGGCGAAAATGTCGTGTTCATTGGATCCTCCATTTGCCAATATTTCCCCAGAAGGTTAATGTTGTCTTGGCCCTCGTTCTCGTTGTCGAATACTTTGCTGCCAACGGGAGGTGCTGCTTCAGGGTGAAGATTTCGCAAAAGACGCAGAGCGTCCTGTCGATGTTCCAGTGCAGATCGGTGAATGCGTGCCTCATCCCAAACCATACTTGCAGCTTCGACTATAGCGCTTGCAATGGCTAATTGGTCCAAAAGCCCAGGGAGCTCTGACAAGGGACCCTCGGCAGTGAGAACGTCAGCGGCTTCCAATACCGCATAGCTCATGAACGGAGGAGGCGCGCTCAGCGGGGTTCGCCGAGCTTGGAGTAGTACTTCCAACATGCCCGTGATCTCCAGTACTTGTTTCGCTTCCTCTTGGATCCTTGACAGGTACTGCATCCGCATTGTTGCCGGTATTCGGCCCGAGGAGTACGAGTGCCGGTGGACCTTGACGAGAACGTGGTGGAACAGAAGATGAATCGTAAGGAATGTGCTGAGAGTTCCATGCTGAGCAGCCAGGTCCATATTGCTTGGGTTGTAGATAAACTGTCCGGGAAGCGATTCGCGCCAGCTGACTAGCCTCCCGACAGAGCTCTCAACAAACGCTGCTGGCACTCCATTCGAGGACAGGCCGTGCTCATTCCTGTACACGCTAGACATGATGTCTCCCCAAACAGCCACAAGCTGGATGAGATAGGCCGGTAAGGCTAAGCGTTGATCCGCCATTTTGGACGAGCTCGAAGGTAGCGCCGGGAAGAAGGGTGCCTGAGAAGCCTGTTGACTCTCAAAGACATCCGGTTCGCATGGCAACCGGATGAATATGTCTAGAGGATTCAGACTGCCCAGGCGGTTGGGAAACATGCCGTTGAGTCGTTCTAGCACAAAGCATGCCCAGTACGTCCGCCTTCGGCTCTCAGCAAAGCCTTCTCTATTCAAGCCGTATGGATAAGTTGTCTGGCGAGCGTCCATCGACTTGTCGAGTTCCAAGTTTAGCTGGAGGAATATTGCTATCGAAATGGCCGCACTGATCATATCGTTCGCTTCGCTGGATCTGGACGTAGATATGTAGTAGACCGCGAGGAGGAGTCGAGCTTGCGCAAGCTGAAGGCCAGGAGTAACCCGTTGCTGCGCGTACCGTGCGACTTGAGCGTATTCAGAGGCGATTGTTCTTGGTCCACCTGACAAGGTGACCCCGATGGCGAGGATGCTATAGGTGAGCATCAGGTCTTCTGGAGACTTTATGTGAGCATTACCAGTCACCCAGGATTTAAACGGTATCTCGGGCAAGAAACAAAGGGCCATGGTGCTATCCGTGTGTACGAAGAAGGAGGAGATTACGGTGCTAACTGACTGCGGGTCGGAAACGTACGGGTCTGATTGCCATGCTCGGTGAAGCACGTCCTCGTGGATCCGAGGAAGCTCAATCGGCTGGCGGTGTTGCCAGGCGTTCACTTTTGCCGTCTCTGGCGCCCGGCTCATTAAGGCGGAAGAGTCGCTCGGCATCGAGGGGTATGAGTCAAAACCAAGGCGCATCCTCTTGTGAG